TATCGCCCCTGATGGCTATAAACGTGACGTTCTTCTCATCAACGGTGCTTTTCCCGGCCCCTTGATTGAGGCCAACTGGGGAGATACTATTGAAGTTACTGTGCGCAACAAGATATTCTCGCCAGATGAAGGATTTGCCTTGCATTGGCATGGATTTCTGATGAAGGACTCACCCTGGGAAGATGGTGCTCCGGCTGTCACTCAATGCCCAATTCCCCCTGGAAAGAGCTTTACCTACCAATTCAAGGCTGATCTCTATGGCACAACGTGGTACCACTCTCATTACTCTTCTCAGTATGCTGGCGGCCTCACTGGACCAATCGTGATCCATGGTCCCAATCATGAAAGATATGATATTGATCTCGGGCCTGTCATGCTCTCAGATTGGTACCACAAGGAATACTTTGATCTGGTAGAAGAAGTCATGGCCCCCAATTCCACACCCCCATACGCTGATAATAATCTCATCAACGGCAAGATGAACTTTGATTGCTCGACTGTTACCCCAGGGGACAAAGCCCCATGCAGGAGCAATGCGGGAATCTCCAAGTTCAAGTTCCGGCGCAACAAGACCCACCGGCTTCGCCTGATCAACTCGGGAGCAGAGGGCATGCAGCGCTTCTCCATCGACGGCCACAAGATGAAGGTCATTGCGAATGACTTTGTCCCGGTTGAGCCGTACGAAACCGATGTCGTTACCCTTGGCATTGGGCAACGCGCCGACGTGCTGGTCAAGGCGGACGGCAAGCTGGATTCATACTGGATGCGCTCCAATGTCTCCACCATCTGCGGCCTGAACAATGCACCTAACGCCCTTGCGGCAATCTTTTACGACAATGCGGATACCAGGAAGAAGCCCAGGTCGCAGGCGTGGGACAGACCCGATCCAGGGACATGCGCCAACGACGATCTTGCCCTCGTCAAACCTAAAATGAAGCTGGTCCTTCCCAAGGCCGATATTACAAGGGACATGACTGTGAATCTGACCAAGAATGCAAGCGACATCACGCTCTGGGCAGTTGATGGCATCGCTTACAGGGGTAACTACAACAGCCCAACGCTGCTGATGTCCATTCTTGGAAACTACACCTTTGACGAGGAGTGGAACGTTATTAACACGGGGAATGCAAACAGTGTGAGAATCAATGTTATCAACAACACACCCCTTGCGTAAGTTCTTTCTTGAAAGTGATGGAGGCTGAAAATGAGGCCCTGGCTTTCAGCTAATACGAGTGGCCGCCTATAGGCACCCCATGCATATGCATGGCTACAACATGTACATCCTCCACGAGGGACGGGGCGCATGGGATGGCACCATCATACGCCCTGAGAACCCTCAGAGGCGCGACACCTACCAGGTCCAGGCGAATGGCCACCTCGTGATACAGTTCGACGCTGGCGATAATCCAGGTATGTAACTGCCTACCCCCCCACTCTCTCACCCTCCTCTCTCCTTGAAGGTCTGACACCAGCGCCCGCTGACGATGAGGAACTTTGAACTTGCTAGGTGTTTGGCCATTTCACTGCCATATCGCGTGGCATGTGTCTGCTGGCTTCTTTGCCCAGTTCCTAACCAAGCCCGATGAGGTGAAGAAGAGGAAGATTCCTAACGTGGTGGCGGAGACGTGCCGCCAGTGGGGAGATTGGACCAAGACGAACATCCCCGCGCAGATTGATAGTGGGCTGTAAGCCAGATTCATGGCACCCTGACGTGAGATACTGTCATCTGTGAGTGAAGCCTCACCGCCGTTCTTTTCTTTGGACATTCGTTCGTGGTGGGAAGATGGAGCTGGCTGGCATCAGCGGTTAGGTTTGATAGGATAGTGGCACGTGAGCCCTCGTTTGATCTCTACTTTCTTCTCGTTTACCCTGAGGTTTTCCTGTATATGTCGGAAGATAATGTATGTGTTTTGGCGGGGAACTTCAGCTGAGCAACCCTTGTCTTTGGAACTTTTCTTTCGGGGTAGCGGGTGCCTTTTCCCGCCGGATTCGAGGAAACAACTACATAGGTGACCATACAGAAGGTCAAGCGAGCCAAACAACAGACAAGCAATAGGCATGACGTAAATAACATGATTTAGGTGCTGAGATTCCCGAGAACGGTCTCCCCATGGGTGACATGCATGCGAATGTGTGTGTGAATGCAACCTGGCCGTTTGGCTTTATGCAGGCTTGACCCCTGTTGATCCGGCCCAGCTTTTGAACGGTTTGTCAAGAGGTGGTTTGCAGCTGCAAGAAAGCCAATAGTGACACCCCGAAACAAGCAATTAATTGATACCGTACCCACGCAAAGACAATTATGCCCCGCATACCCGAGGCCGCCGTATATGCGCTCGTTGCTGCAGGCTGACTCCTCCTCAGGTGGTCGTTCTGGACGCAGCCGTGGAGGGGTCCAAGTGGCGCGATGCATAAGCTGGTTGGCAACCTCTAGAGTCTCTTTTGGAGGATGATGGGGATCTCAATCTACGAATTAGTGTGGTCGTGTGGGCATCCGACAATCCGGTCCGATGTGTGTGATTCATGGATGGATGGCTGCTCACTTGGGAACAGGGTCAGGCACCTATGCTGGTATCAGGTGCCTGGGGTCTCGTCCGGCGTCTACCTGTTTATGATCTAACAAACTGGGTGTTTACATGAGTGCGTGGGGGAATCACAAAAGACCAATAGTGTGAAGCAAGGAGTAAGGGTCATCCATGTTTGGAGGGGCAACCATACATGACTTATATGCAATTGGTGATATATCGGCCAGTTGGCATTGACAAACGCAGCTGAAGTTGTATCCAAAAATATTGAGGCACAGATCTGACACTCCTCATAATGCCGCCTTCTCAGGGTCTGGTTGCTTAGCACCCTCTTTCTCACCGGTCCGGCTCTCCTTTTCCGCAACAGCTAATGACGGTCCAGCCGTCTTATCATTTTGCTCCTCCTCCTGCTTCTCTTCCGGCTCCGAGTCGCTGAATGCTGACTGTTCCACCTTCTTCTCAGTGGAGTTTAGCGAATTCTCCTTGGGTTCTGGAATCTTGAGAATCTCGCCTTCTTCCTGCTCGCCCACCTGCCTCCCCTCGTTTACCAACTCTGATTTAGATGCAGAGCCAGCTGGCTCATCTCTCCTTTCTGAGGCGTCATCCAACTTCAATGCGGATTCTACACCCTCTGTAAGCTTGTTCACTTCGTCCTCCAACTCATCATGCTGCTTCGTGGCGTCTCCAGACTGCCTGTCGGCTTCCTTGTCGCCAACTACATTTCTCCACAGCGTGTCCAGCTCCTCGTCCCACCCGAGAGCCTTGGCCAGCTTCCTGACCCCCTCATCGCACTGCCCAAGCGCAAGGACGTCGTCCGGCCTCGATCCCAGGCTGCCCACCCTCTCCATATTAAAGAGAACACGCGGCTTCCCGCGGGTGACCAGCTCGGGCAGGGACGCGAAGGGAAAAACGGTGAGGCTCGTGCCCAGGATGAGGGTCAGGTCCGCCATGCTGGCGCGCGGCGACTTGGCCGAGAAGTCGCGGGGCAGCGGCTCTCCGAAGAAGACAATGTCCGGCTTCACCAGCCCGCGGCACTCCCTGTCCTCGCAGCGCGGCACCCGGGAGGCCTGGATGTGCTCGAGCATCTTGTCCTCCGGGAACTCGACCTTGCAGTCGATGCAGCGCTGCGTGGCGAAGCTCCCGTGGGCCTCGACAATCCTGTCCGCGGGCACGCCCGCCCTCCGCTCGAGGCAGTCGATGTTCTGGGTGAAGAGCATGTCGAGCAGGCCCTTGCGCGCGAGGAGGGCGATGAAGGCGTGGGAGATTGTGGGGTAGAACTTGCCCGGGTAGAGCTCCTGGGCGAGCACGTAGAAGGGGTCGGGGTTGTTCCGGAAGTAGGAGATGTCGAAGACGGCCTCGGCGTGGGGGAGGTTGAGGCGCTTGAGGTTTGCGTAGAGGCCCGTGCCTGGCGATCGGAAGTCGGGGACTGCGTAGGCCGTAGCGACATGTTTAGTTGGGATGGTTTCTCATGCGACGAGGGGAGGGAGGGAATGCGACTCACTGCCAGCGGCGGTGGAGATGCCGGCTCCTGTCATGACGCAGATGCGCTTGACCTGACCGCTCTTGATGTAGTCGGCGACAGCTTCGAGGGATCTATCCATCAAGACCTGTGGCTGGACGGACTCGTCCACCATCGTGGATTCTTCCTGGCCCATCCTGTGCCAGCGTGGGACTCGAGGTCCGGCCTTGGGCTTCTGATGGCGGTCGCGACGTCGTCGGCCTATTTTGGCGGCTGGGTATTGATTGGCTATGCAAGCCAATGGATGAGTATATGCGCGCGAAGCAAAGAAAATGAATCCAGGGAGGGCAGCGACGTAAAATCTCAGACGCTTGCGGACCAGATATTGGTTGTATGTCGTGGGGTAAGTTGGCGGGCGCCTTCAAATTTATGTATCGATAAGGCGATCTGCCCCGCCATTCATTCTTCTTACTCAGCCCGTGTTGGTTGCTCGTCAATGCCAACCAATACACATACCTACCAGTCAACAAAGGAGAATATTGAGTCATAGCCGAACATCAGTTGGTAGGCAGCACTCATTGATCCTTATTGATACCTGGCAAGAACACGAATACCATGTGTTGTCTGCCCAGGCAACAGGTTGATGAAGCGACAAGCTTAATGAGGATGCCTAATGCGGCTGAGCCGTGCTTGCGGAACTCGGCATCATTTGACGGACACAATGCATGTTGGTTGATCGCGAGCATGTCCGGACGATGTGGTACAAGTGTCCTCAGGGGTGAAAAGGGTAGCCTTGTCATGCTGTCAAGGAAGAAGCAGCCAACAATCAAATATGTATGTACTCATTCAATTCAATTAGAGCTGCCTCGGAGTCTCGGTTCATGATCGCATTTATGTAGCTCCCTTGAAAATCAAAATCAAATAAAGCAAAACAACGCCTGATGCCAACGCCTTCGCAGTTCATACATGTCTTTCACTATTGTCGCCTTCTCTCCGATGTGTTGCCCGCTTAGGCCATGTTATCCATGGCGCTCCCGGGCTTGGGCGAATTGCTCCTCTTGAAGGCGGGCTAATTCTTCCATCGACATGCCACTGCTGGCAAATTTGTCCTGTTTCTTTTCACGACCCTGTTTCGTGTCAGTGATGAGAGCTCATGGTGTAAGCGGGTGGACGTGGTGTAAAGGTGGGTACTGACCTTTTGTGTTTCCTTGTGCTCTTGTGCTGCCTCGAGCACGGCTGGGACGTAATCAGAGAAGCCAAGCTGCTCCAACGCCTTGGTGATGTGGTCGCAAGCGATGGTCTTCTTGGCTTCCTTCTCTGAGATTTCGTTGGCCTCGGAGGAGATCAAAGTAATGAACTCGACGCAACATTCTATGAGCAGGTCGCGAGCTTCCTTTGCAAATGTTACTCCAGTGCTGGAAGGCAGGATCTCTGAGACTATCTTCTGCACGGTGGCTGTAGACGGAAAGTCGTGTTAGCGATGACGACGCTCTTCCATCGAGGACCCCGTGGTGGCCAGGGGAAATAAGTAGAACGTACCTTTGGGGAGCGACAGGTCGTCATTGGCTATGGAAAATGTTAGCGAAGCTCAAAATATGGTCTGGAGTGTGATATGAACCGGGTCCCCGATCATATTGTTGCCAATATCGGTCCTGATTGGTTCTTCGGCGAGGCATTCTGAATACAGGGGATAGTGCAAGTAAAGAAAAAAACAGGCAATATAGGGAAGTAATGAGATGGGAAGGTGAGTTGGCGCAAGAAAGGGATAGGTGCAGATAGGGAAGAAGGGATTAAATATGAACATCATGTCGTAGCCAGTTATTCTACTCCTGGACCAAGGATGTAACAGACTGCTTGACGATGTGTGTGAAGAGACGTTGACCCAAGTGAATGGGACGCGGGTGCCAACACCAAAGCAAGCGGGTGAAGGCAGAGGAACGAACAGCATATTCACACGTGAAAGTGAGTGATTGAGAGTGAATTTAAGCAAACATGAAAACCGTTGCATCGTGTGATAACAACCAAACGCGACGGGAGATGTGATGAGATTGAAGGAAACAGAAGTTGCTCACCTCCAAACTCGTGGTCAGACATGTTGGAGTGTTTGTATTAGTGTGGCAAGCGTGGGGAGCTTGGCGCGGGAATGAAACGATGAATCAGGAAGGGACGAGGATTTGGGTTGATGAAATGCGCAGAGCCGGGACACGCGGGACGGCAAGGGCCAAATAGAAAAGCAGAATATATACCGGGAGCCGGGCTGAGTTGCTTGACTGTGTGAACGGACACGGGGCCGTGCAGGTGGCTGATGCGGATCGGCTGGCTTGCTGTTGGACTCTGGGAAAAAAGACCATCTATTGGGGGCTATGCCGTCAGAACGGCGGGACGGAGCTCAGGTTAAATAAAGCTCTCTGCGGCATGCTTAGGCTTCGAGGCGGCGCGCTTGGGAATCCAGCAACGTGATTTGGCAGAAACGCCAGGATTTGGCTGTGCGAGACGCAAAATACGTACCGGGACCCACCCGCGTTGATCCAGCGCGTGCACGGGCCACTCGAGCCGGACTTACCTCGAGAAAATATTCCACAGCTCAATTTTTCTTTCTTCCCTTCCTCCCATCCACGCTCTGTCCGTCCACCTCGACACACACCCTCGCGTCTGTCTTGGAATGAATAGGGATTGAAAACGTCCCGGCGACCGACAATGGATTGAATTCACCTTCTCCCACTGCTCTGCTATGGTAAGTTTCTTTGCGCGCCTGCATCAATCCACCCTTATCTTCAATGATGAACTATTTGTCGCCCCAGTCTTAGAAGGTTCGACAAGCCTCTCTTTGCTGAATGACCAAGTCTTATGCCAAACAGACGTATCTGATCTAATTCCCTGCCTACCTCATTGTTATCAATCATTCGCATTTCGCGTACCATGGCTGACAATGCCCACAGAAATAGCACAGCAGTGTCGCCTCACACAGTGTAAGCCTCGACCTGACATTCACCGTCGCCCCGTACTCGAGCGCTACTTCGCTATGATGCCTTTTGCTATTGGTACTATCAAATTCCGATATCTCATGACGGACTATTTTTCGATAGCCTGAGCACCTCAACGCTTCCTGCGGGCGACGGAGACAAACACCTCGTACTCAGTTCCAGGTACTAACCGCTCGTCACAGTATCACAATCAATCCAACACGTCGTTCCACTGTCGGACAGCCCAAGGCTTCATTGATTCACTAAAGGTAAGGCTATGCTTATTATTTGCAATGGGTTTTCTTGCCCATTACTTTATTTTATTATCATTGAGCACCATATGCTCATTTGCTATGATGAAGCAACTTACATTCCATGCTAATCCTGAATACATTATGTGGAGTAAACTAAGAGCTTTTCATCTTTCGACTGACTGCAAACCCGTCTTTCTTTCATTTCTATATGCATTTTGGAGGCGAGACTTAGGCTAACTTGCCTGTTTACAGATTCACACTCAAGCGTCATCCTGATACGCTGCCAACTCTGGCGCGTTCCATCTGTGAAGTTTATGTTAGTAAACTGTCTGCGTGGTTCTCTGCTGCATGGATTACGTACGACAAAAACTTGCCGCTCAGGTGCTTTGCCGGCTCGACGGCGAGTTTTGCGATGACGTTGCCGGGCTTTTCTGGTTCCAGCAGAGTGCCCTTTTCAAATGCCTCGACAAAGGTCTGGTACTGCGACCCATCCATGCTCTCCTTGCCGGTCGCTCGAAGTGTAGCTTGCATGTCGGTGTTCACTCGACCTGGAGCGATGGCGATGCTGGTTATGCTGGGCTCCTCTGATGCCAGGTGCGCCGAGAGGTGATTAATAGCCGCTTTGGATGATCCGTATGCTCCCCAGCCGTTGTAAGCCTTCGTAGCTGCTCCAGACGAGACCCAGACGATTGAGCCATTGGTCTTTCTGAGCTCTCCAATGACCGCGCTCGCCTTGCCACTCGTAATTAGTATATCGTCTGAACCATCGCTGTAGTCAATTGTGCGTGAAGGGAGAAGATCTCACCATGGCAAACCCACTGAAGACATTGATGTCGTATGACTTTTTGAATGTCTCTAACGACATATCGCTGAGCTTCCCCAAGTCCAGGATACCGTGGTTCACAATGACACCGTCCACCCTTCCAAATGCCTTGATTGCAGTATCAACAACCTTTCGGGCAATCTGAGGTTGGCGAGTCCGTGTCAGCAGCTCCAGCACCAGCGCAGGGACGTTTATATGATCGTAGAATAAGACTTACACCTGGCTCCGTCATGTCGCCGGCGACAAACTCGACCTGGTCCGGGCGGGCAAACTTGACCTCCTCGAGCACATCCCTCGATCTGGCCGTGAGAACGAGCTTGTGGGATTGTGAGAGCAGGCGCAACACGAGGGCGGCGCCAATGCCCTTGCTGGCGCCGGTGATGATGATGACCTTGGGGGATGCCATGCTGGGAGGGTGAGGGCTCTTCTCTTGTCTCTGGCTACCAATGAGAGTGGTGAGAGGGTAAAGTCTGCTGTGCGCTAGCGGTTCAATCTTTGATAAGTATGGCGAGGAGGGGTTGAGGGACAGCTTCTGTGTGGTGGGGTAGCTTTCTCCATTTCAGCGTCATGGCAGGGGGGCAGCTGAGTGACAGAAGAAAGAAGACACGCAAAGTCTGCTCCTGCTACACTTTTTGAGAGGTATGCCATTTTGTATTACTTCAGACTAACAATAGACAAACATCTAGATAATCTACCCTGTATTATCGAGCTGTATTATTTTTATTGTTCAATCATTCTGGTCAGATGCGAATGATGCTCTACTTGTAATTGCTCTCCAGTTTAGTGTCTCATTTCTTCTGTCACCTACTTGGTGGAGGAATGTCGCCTTCGTCCTCATCTTCCAACTCGCCAAGTGAACAATTAGAGGCAAAATATAGCGTACTTGACTTGGCGAGGAACAACGGCCAAACCTCAGCTGAGCTTTGATCGGTGCACTGCTAAGCTGTGTATGAGGAAGAAAGATGCGGATTGAGTGGGCAAAGACCCTGGTTGGGAGTTTCTTTGAACTCTTCCCGCCTGGGTTTGAAGGGACTGTAGCCATTTCAACTGATCAGTCAAGAAAATGAATCACGAAGGCGGTAGAGAATCCCATTGAACCACTCCATAATCTCATTTAATTATTCATTATGAGCTCTCGGTAAGCAAAGTCGCACGTAGGTTTGCGATGCTCTTATGCGATGCCATGCAACATCCGCCCACAAGGATCTCTGGCCAAGATCCTCTCCTCTGGGTCTGCCTCACGACATCAGCCAGCTGCGTCTCCCATGGAACTTGATTCTCCCCCAGCCCGTCAACAGGAGCCTCCCACTTCTGAGTCTCCGTGTTGTAGACCTCCCCGTTCGTGCCGTCAGGGTAGAGCACCAGCGCCGGCCACTCGTCGATGAGCCCCTCCTCGACTATCTTGGCGATCGTCCCCTCGTACTTCCGCAGCAGCGAGTCCAGCTTCCACATCTTGGTGCAGTTGATCCCGACCCCCCAAGGCCTCACCGGCCCAACACCCGGGTCCAGCATCGCCCGCACAGCCGCCTCCACCGACGAGCCGTCGGGAAGCGTCTCGGCATCCCCAGGAAACAGGGCAGACACCCAGTACGGCACGTCCCTCAGCCCGTCAACGGAGGCGATGGCCCTCCGCACCGCCGCAATCTCGTCCACGCGCGGCAGCGTCTCGAGCGCGACGAAGCCGATCCTCGACGATGACGACGCAGCCCCGCGTACAGCCTCGCCAAACAGCCCCAGCCGCTCGCGGTGCCACGCCTCCAGCGCCTCGCCCGAGTCGTGCGCGGCGTCGTACCGCCCGCTGTACTCCTGGCTGGGGATCATGCACGCCCCGTAGGGCCCGACGCTCAGCGCCACCTGCGCGTGTTCCGCCTTGGCCCGCTCCGCAATGCTGATAGCTGTTGCAATGTACCCCGGGATGGCTGCGCGCGGGACCCCCTCGGGGTTCTGCTCGGTCCTCGTATCCGCGAAGCCTTGGATGGAGACCTGGTAGGTGGCCGTGAGGAGCACGTCGACGGGGACGCGGCCGAAGCTGGACTGGCACCGCAGCAGGGTCTCGTTGTCGGACACGAGGAGGTGCGACGACCAGAGCGGCGTCGCGTGGCTGCTGAATTTGACGCCGAAGTCGGTCTCGAGCGAGGTGCCGAGACCGCCGTCCAAGATCTTGATTCGGGTCATTGTGTGGTTTTGCTTGAAGGAGGAAACGGGGTGTTGTGGAATCGTGGACGGCTGAGGAAATATGGGAAACCCCTCGTTGGGTCAATCATTTATCCGGAAGGAGAAAAACTAAATAAAGCATGAGGGCCGAAGCACTCTCTTGAAGCCTTTGCAACGATTCGGATGAATATTACATGGGCTATTCTATTGATCAATCTCACCGAATTGCATCTTTGTCACCCAAAGCACAACGCCAAGGGTTAATGTGATGATGCGATGGTACGCCCACTTTTCAGCTTTGCGAAATGGGCAGAGTTTACATCCGGGATGGGGACCGAATTCACAAAGATCCAGCCCCATGTGTTTGTTGATGAGGAGCCGAACGGCAGAGAGCTAAAATGAGAGATGCCATTTGCTCCCCAGTGTTCCGATCCCCGGCACTGAACATGTACAAGTTAAAGCACGCAAGGCAAGAAAGAGATGAAACGGCGCATATCTGCAGAAAAGGGCGTCATTTCATAGTATCGTAATTTAATAGTTGTCTCATGATCTTGTTGCGTGGGCGTACTGAGGCTCAACCATTGGACCCTTGATGCCAACAAACATACTACATAGCAATATCCATTACATGACAAACTTCAGGTTGGTATCTACGATGGGTTAGCCAATTGAATCACGGATAAGGCGAGGGGAACATGGCATACCAAGCGGGTGACTGCACGAGAGCTGGGGCTTCTGGGAGTACTTCTCCATCAGAATATCTCGGATGTTGTTCAGCAGCTCAACATAGGTCTGGTCGGGGTTGGCCTTGAGAGCAGAGATGAATGCATAGGACATGGCACCAGTAGCCTTGTTGGCAATGGTGGCATCGGCACTGGGATTAGCGCGTTAGCAGAGCATGAAAGAGGGCGCAGTTGGAGGGAAGTTGGTGTCTTGACTTACGATGTCTGATCATCCTTGCTACCAGACCACATGACAACATCAGCTGGCGAAGTTCGGGTGTCTTTGGTCTTGTTGTAGCCATCATTGCCCATCATGGCAGTCTTGGCAAATCCGAAGACGGAGCTGGCTACACCTGCCATATCGCCTGAGGCGTAGGAAGTGAAGGCACCGAGAAGACCCTGGCCAGCTTCCTTGGCCAGGTTGGGCTCCTTCAGAATTCCCTTGGTGGAGTAGACGTAGGGCAGGTCCATGACAGTGGCAGAGTGGCAGGAATCAAAGATGGCGGTCAATCGAACACCAGCCTTGAGGGGCTTGACACACATGGCGTGGATGTCGTCGTCCACGATGTGGCCATTCTGAGAGTGGTCGACAGGATATATGACTTCATCATAGCCGTCATCCTCATCACCGTCCAAGTCTTCGGTTTGGCCTCCGTGTCCTAGATCTCGTGTCAGCAAACGAGGGTTTAGATCGATTTTGCGACAAATAGGAGCAAACAATACCTGAATAGTGAAGGAATAATGAGTCGTTGGGCTCGGCGCCGCCTACGAGCCAACCCATGGCGCGCTCGATGTTGGCCTTGGTGGGCCGCATGATGGGGTTTTCTTGGTCGTCGGTCAGGATAACCATATCTTCCTTCTTGTAGTTGTGCCTCTCCATGAGGAAAGAAGAGACATTGTGGACATCGTTGATGCAGCCTCTGAGCTCGCCCTTCTGGCCAAAGTAGTTGATACCGATGAGCAAAGCCTTCCTCTTACCGGTACAGTTGGAGTACTGGAAGGTGTAGCCCTCAGGCGCACCGTGTCCGAACTGCTGGGGAACGTTAGAGGGCGGAGGGGGGTGGTACTGCTGGCGGTTTTGGTGATTGGGAGCTGCGAGAGGATACCCATAGGCGTCAAGGCCAGCAGGAGGAGGGTGAGATGGCGGGGGAGGGCGGTTGTACTGTTGTTGAGGTGGTGGTTGATGGTGTTGTTGATATCCACCACCGCCGTATCCGCCATAACCTTGGCCTTGCTGATAACCACCTTGACCTTGCTGGTAACCGTAATTTGGCTGCTGCTGCTGGTACCCTCCGTACCCTCCCTGGCCCGGAGGAGGACCTGGAGGAGGAGCGTGGTAGTTACCGCCGCCGTATCCTCCACCACCTCCATATCCGCCGCCGCCGCCATAACCTCCTCCTCCTCCTCCGCCGTTGTAGCCGTGATGGTCCTGAGAACCGTAGTGGCCCTGACCGGGGTAGCCGCCTCCGTACGACATTGCAAAGTAGATCAAAGTCCCCTTATGAACGGCTTGCAGAGAGTGGTCTTATTCCAAGTTCCTGCTGGTGTGTGAGAATGAGCTGCAGGCAGTGGGTGGGTGAAATGCTGATGTTGATGGGGGGAAATGAGAGCCCAGCCAGTGGTATGCGGCTACTAAAGCTAAAGGATTGACCAGCGTGTTCGCTAATAAGTACTTACTACCGTTTGTAACCAGATGACTATCTAGCACGGACCTTGTGAGAGGGACAGCACGCGTGTTGCTTGGAACGAAGCAGAGCTGGGGAGAAATTTCGAGTCTATTATTAGTTCAGCTTTTGTGAGGTAGCCAACCGCAGTATTACGTGGGCAGTCACAGGGCAGAGGGAATTGACCGGATGGATCGAGACGGTGCTGACTGTGGTGTCGGTGAATGAATGAATGAGCGCTGGAGGAGGGGCAGAGCTGAATCGCAGCCCAGAAGCGCCCCGGAAGTGAGGGGCAGAGGGACCCTTGCAGTGGAGGGACGTCGCTTGTAGGGGTGCATTAGCCTCACTGCCTCAGGGCTGGGCCACGCTATCCCCAGCCACGGCCTTTGAGAGCTCCCACAACTCTGTTCGCCCACTGCATTCCTGTCCCTCCAGGCGTTTGCATAGACGATACCTAGCCAGCCCTATCTAGGAATCGTTTAGTACATAGGTAGCCTCGCTCGGCTAGGATCTGCCGCACTACTACAGCCTACAGGCTACAGCCGCTGCGAGCTTCTTTTTCCCTCCATTCCGTTCTGCCAAGATGGCTGTCGGCAAGAACGCGAGCTCCGTGCTAAGCCGTTAACAGGTGTGGCTCAAGCAGGTGCGATGCCGAGACTTGCTGACGCGGCCTCATGGCAATTCTCTACGGCGCCACTTTCTCACCGCAGGAAGTTGCTCTTGGCACAGACAACCATCCACATCGCCGTGGATGTATTCATGTATTGAAGTCACAAGAGGCCCCCTCAGTCTGCTACCTTGGTACCTAACCCAACAACAGCCGCTGATCCCAGCGGCGCCCGACACGGCCCGACCCTGCCCCAAGCAAAGGACATACCAATGCCAAGCTAGTTGTGGTCGACGAGTGAATGACTGGAGTCACGAGGCGATTGCTTTGTATTCAGTGCCACAGGCATTTGTTCAGACACAAAATGCCACAGTGCATGTGCTTTGTACTACAGCCGCCCTAGGTAAGCAGCCCACTGGCCTCCCTGGTGCGGCCCGCAATGGGGTGCCCATGGGTGATGGATGCTGCAGGTCATTGGGGCCTGTCCATCTCTTCCGACGCTGTGTTTGGAGTGAGGCACATTATCGATGGGCTGGGCAGGTAGACAGAGAAATAGTATCTGTACCTTAGGTAAGGTAGTAATACTCCAGACATGCATAGACACATTTTGGTTCTGTGAGCAGGCCTGTTGACAGGCAATCCCCCCACTATCAGACCCCGATTCCTCCCCATGCTCATGTGCCATCTTACCTTCAAGAAATCCTCCTTCGTACCACAAACACCTCACTTAAAGTTTCTCTTCCCCAGCCAAATTCCCCCGGGGCCCTTTTCAAAGAACTCATGCTCCTGCGCTGAGAACCTACCAATTCTGAACCCTCGACCGAGTGTGCTACTTCCCCCGCAGGCACCTGCTTGAGACACATGCTTGTAACACCTGCTGCGGGCACCTGACAACAGACGGACCACTTGCCATCTGCCCCAACACCCCTACCTTGCCTCCATCTCTTGGCTTCCACGTTCTTGGACAAACTTCCTCTTTCCCACCCCTTCCCTGTCTCGTGCGGCAGATAAACGGGCGTAACTCTTTTTGTATTGAGTTGGCGGCCTCCTGGAAGAACAGTGGAACTTTCCCTCGTCTTTTCTCTTGGCTCATTTCCAACCTGCGCGCTGCAGTCCTCAGATCCAGGTCTGATAGTCAGCCGGCAGAGTTGAGTCGCAAGCTCGCGCAAACCTGAAGGCTTGCGGTTTATTTGTTCATTTCTCCCCGCCATTTCCAGAGAGTATTCAGTTCGAAGTCACCCAAATTCATTCGCCATGTCTTTCTTCAGCAAGATCGCCAAGGAGTTCGAGGACCTAGGCTTCGGGGACGAGAAGAAGGAGAAGAAGGAGAAGAAGGAGAAGTACGAGGAGAAGGTGGAGGAAGTGCCACCTCCACAGTATCAGCAGAGCCACCAGCAGAATCAGCAGGGCTACCAGCAAAACTACCAGCACACCCGTGAGGAACACGAGGGATATGGTTGTATGTCCTCCCTGCGTATCAACACTTGATGTTCATGACACTAATTGTCGTTGGCAGCCCCAAACCCTTCCGGTGGTCCACCCTACGGACAACATGGAGGCTACGACAGCCCAAGCTCTCCCCCTCCTTCGCAGTATCCTGCCTCCCCCGCTGTGCCTAATTATCAGCCACCCTCTGACAAGCCTCCCTTGCCCAATGGTTGGAGACCTTTCTTCGACCAGCAGTTCCAGAGATGGTACTACCTAGAGGAGGCCACCGGACGGACTCAGTGGGAAGCACCCGGCTACCAAGCTTCCTTCCAGGACGGTTCCGACTCTAGAGGAGCTGGAGGTGACCACGGATATGAAGCACATGGAGGCGGCTATGGCTATTCTCAGGGTGCTCCTCCAGGCCATGGTGGTGGCGATGAGGGCTATCGTGGCGACGGCGATTACGGAGAGAAGTCCGAAGAGAAGAAGGATAAGAAGGACAAGAAAGACAAGCAGGACAAGAAGAGTAATAAGGGTATGTACTTGGCTGCTGGTGCTGGTCTTGCCGCGGGAGCCGTGGGTGGTGCCTTGCTTTACAACGCTCTTGACGACAGTGATAGCGACAAAGAGGAGCATCATCACCATTACTATTCCGGTGGAGGAGGTGGTGGCCACAGCTACGCTCACGAAGAGCGCCATTACGAGGAGCACAGGAGCGGCAGCGACAGAAGCAGTAGCAGCAGCAGCAGTAGCTCGTCGGAGGAGGAAGAGGAAGAGGAGTACTCAGACTAGTCCACACGCCTTGTCTTATCATCAGGCTTCTCCTCAGATGATGGGTGAGATTTCAGGTCGCCAATCGTTCGCTACGAATTGTAGTGCCTGATCTTTTTTTCCGACTCAGTTATCTGGCCTATGATGGGAAGCAGTCTCTGTCTCACAAGCCTACGGGTAAAGGCATGATGGCATGATTTTACGAGCTACGTAGCCGCATAACCTCGCCTCTAATTGAAATATTTTACACGATTGACTTGTTGCCCCATTCTGCTCTCGCCTGTGCTCTCTTGATGGAGTTTTCGTACGATTATTCCCAACTCACTGGGCGAAGAGTCAGAACCACTTTTAAAATAGCAAACCAAGTGTGGTCTATAAGGGTTGGATTAATGAAAATTTAGACCCCTTTCACTTCAAATCAGAGCTATTAGGGAATCGTGTCTGCTCTTAATTTCATGGTTTGTATGAAAAGACTCTATAACATGTTTTCCGACCAAGTTGTGCTCCTCGATTTTAGCCAGGGTATGAAGACGAAGAGCAGGCATATCAGACTTTCTGTTATTTATATGATTTAGTTTAGTACAGAAACAGATGGGAATTTGGGGGTTCCCACTGCCGTTGGAATAAGGTTAAATTTTGACATCAGGGCCCCATGTACAAGTGGCTATTCAAATCATCGCCTCTTGAAGTCCAGAAACGTTGCCAAGAATAAAAAAGGTTGATAATCAAATTCAACGCCGCTTGCTACATAAATTCAGTGGGAATTTAGAATGGAATATTAAAGTCTCGGAATATACCGCCTCGCCGTCTTTCGGATTGCCCAAGGTGCTAAGTGGTTTAACGGCGGTGAAGAGCAAAAAGATTTGACAAGGAATAGTACTCCTACAATTCTCAAACATTGATAAGCTGGGAAAGGCCTCGCTGTACTACAAGAACCGGGATTGGAGTAAAGAGTATTGGACTGGGGATAACACCACACCTTAGATTTGCGAGTTGATGTTAAACTTTGAATGCAAGCTGCCAACCACACAGAAATCAAACAGCATTCCACAACAGCTATGAAAATTGGGGACTTTATTGGTCTGTATATTTTTATCTGATCAAATAGTTCATGCTATTGGCTAGTCAATCGACCTATCGTAGCAGCCGTAAAATTGCAGAAAGACGCATCTCCTAGGGAGAAAATTTTCAATAGAAAATATGAGAAGAGCTAAACTGTTGTTATTTTTCTACAGACAGCAAAATTAAATTAATTGACCTTGTATATCCTTGGAAGTAGGCCCCGACTCAGTACACTGTGATTAAATACGTACATGTGTTTAGATCTCACCGTGAAGAAACGAGGGCCAGCTACGCCTGCTCGAAAGTGCTAAAGTTCTGATGGATATCATCAGCTAAGTAAAGCAATCGCACTGACTACGCACTGAGATTTAGAACCTATTTAGTAAATTAAATTAATTCAGAACCGATTCCGTTGTCAAATTAAGGTAAACTCAGTCGACTTGGTTCATAGTGGCTAATGCGAAGCAGACTCAATATAATCAAATGCATAAACTTGACGATTGTGTTTTCTTCGGAACATGCAAAACCCCTCTGTGAATAAAGCCACCACCGTCGCTCCTCATTTCTTGCGTGCGCCGTTCAGGAGCCTGGTGGCGGCGAGCCCCCCAATCGCCGACTGTAGCATATGTCTCGTGCTCCTCTCTTCTGGGTCGCGGCCCATCATCCCACGGTCTATGATGGCAGCCCCCACGGCCGCCGTGGCAACGCGTGCCCCCTTTGTGCCTGCCCAGGGCCCAGGGTGGTGCCGTACTCTGATGGCCTCGATGGCTGCTGCGTCGAGGGCCGCTTTGGCAGCCTGCCCGAGCCTGTCGTCCTTGTGCGGGACACTCTTGGCGCGGTGCTGGTCCTTGTGCTCGCTGCTACGTCGAGGGGACTGTTTCAGTGGGGGAGAGTCGTATCTGCGGCTGTGCCTGTCTGGATGGCGGCTGCTGGATTGGTACTGATGGCTTGGGGTAGAGTGGCGGTACTGCCGACGATCTGGGGAGGGCGAGTAGTTCCGTCGCCGGTGTGTGTCTCGAGTAGAGCTCCTCGGCGGTTCATTGTGGCGACTGTACGGGTCTAGGCTTTTGCTCCTTTTGTAGTCTGGGGAGCGCGCTCGCGGCCTTCGGCTGCCATGGTCTCGATAGTCTCTGTCCAGGCTGTAGAAGTTTTCGCGACGAGGCTCGCGATGAGGCTCATGACGAGGGCGCCTTCGATGGTAGTCTGCCATTATTGCAGAGTAGGTAGGTCGCTACAGATCAGAGGGGAGAATAGACCTGTCTCATCAATAATAGATGCCGAGAGATAGCTAGCTAAATTTGTTCTGCCTTTCGGCATCCTCTACTAGGCAATTAAACATAAATCATGAGGCACTTAGAATCCTGTTTCGTGCATCGTCATCCAATTGACATCATCCACTCATCTTCCCTCTCTCCCTGGTGAAGTCGCCACACGAAAACACGGAGCGAGAAAAGACGTCATAAATCTGGAGAAAAGGATCTGGTGGTGCGGCAGCCTTGCTTGTGTTGCCCTTTTTGCCCACTGAAATCGGTGTTGGTTGGAGACGTTCAAGGATGTGGGTGGCGATCGCGACAGGGAAGCGGCCTGATCACGATTGCAACCTGCACCAATGTTGTGCTCCCCGATCTCTGCACCCACATGCAGCTACCATGAGAGAGAGGCATCATTGAACAATCTTGGCTTTATCGTTTGCTTTATATCAAGAGAAGCGCTTGCTCGGATGACGTGTTGGCTTGCCTATGAAGTCATTCAATCGCGACTGTAGAGGGCTTGTTGTGCTTGCGCTTCGATAGAATGAGATGCATTCTCTATTAGGACTTCCATGCATCAATTTATTCATCTTCTAATCCTGTAATTTAGAAGAGTGCCAGCAAGCATCGGATCACATAATGCGACACGTTGGTTTGACGGCGAGATCATGGCCGCCTATCGCAGCTGCGATGTTTTGACTCTGGAAGAGGCGAAGGCATGAACGCCTCTTGCTAATGAATGTACAGTAAACCATCGACTTCGACATTCTTGGACTGATGTCCTTGGATTTACGGGTTTCATTTCCCTAGGAGACGATAGCCGATAAGTGTTCCGTATTTGCTGATCCATTCACGACACCCTCAGCCGATCGTGATTCCAAGGAGCAACGAAAAAAAGCTTCGTTATAGAATTGATGAATGTTTCAGCTTCATGAATCGAGCTATTGAAATTCTACTGCAGGATTATTGAGCAATAAAGGTATTCGAGTTGAATTAGTCGATACTAAGAGAGGGGAGATTTATAAAACCAATAAAGGAGAGAAATTTGTTACCGAGCACTGGATCTCTTCCGATCTCTGTTGCAAGGAAGCCACTTTTGTCCGCGGCTAAGAATTGCCTCTCAAATGAAACCACATCTCTGTCCAAAAGCAAGTGATCTCGAACCATCCTCCATCCCTCCACCCCAATCCAACCGTGATTCATTTTGAGCGATTGGCAGAAGACCTCCCACCTGAAATAAACCTACTAATCCAAGACATCGCTGCGACAAACTGGCAAGGCCTCATTTTGTTCTACCTGTTATTGCAGAAGCCTACCACGGAACCTAGCTAACCATGACGAGTAAAATTTTCTAAGTAATTAGATAATACATAGGAGCAAAAGGTCTCTTCTGAGGGAAATATGGTCGGATTCACCTACAACTCCAGGTGTCGATCCTGATCCAGTTCTAGCCTAGTTGTATAGTCGGAAAAGAAGACCTGTTACTGCGCAATTTTCCCTCATCTTAGTGTAGTTTTCCCAGTACCAGTTGGGTAGACTATATCACCCGCATAATATGATAAGTCCTCGCTTTAATAGAATAAACCTATCCGGTGGCTAGCTTGGCTTCGGAATCGACCCGTCGATGCCGGCCACTTACGCGTAGCGTTAACGGCTTGAAACGCTAAACCATCCGTGTTAGGCTACATGTCGGGGCCACCGAGTGGCCCAGCGCAAAGCTTCAATCCAGGGTCATTCAACCAGGTTCAAACTAGTTCCACTAAAAAGATGGACGATAGGTGCCTGACGTTCACTGGAAGATACCAGACATGAGGGATCCCAGCTCAATGATGACGATGCTCTGCTTTACTAGCCAGTATAGTGCTCAGAATCAAACACATTATGTGATGTTCTTTTTAGATAATACTCCTGGTTATCTATCGCACACCTACGCATCGCAATGATTTCCGAGTTAGGTCTCGCCGTTGCCGATGACCCTTGCATGTAGCTACGCCTTTTGGAAGTACCATGCCTTTGAAAAGTGCAAAAGCCAAGCTGAGCTCGTAGTAGCTTTGCCATGTTTACCGAGCCTCATAGGTCCAATGGTAGTTGGAACTGCACCTCGCCTATCTCTGCCCACATACATATGAGGGGCGAAACACGGCAGAGATTTCGCAGGGGTTGAGGACAGCCCAGATGTGTGTTCAGCTCTTCCTGAGCTGGATTATTCTGAGACATATTACGATAACGACTTTGCGTCATTTTTTCCAATACGAAAGTGAGGCGGATCGAGCTTTGGTATCCATATTCTAACGATTGTGCAATTCGCACCTAAGTAATTGTTACAAGTACGAGGGGATCCAGCCCTCCCGCTCCAAAGCTTACCCTACACCGCTTCGATCTTGTCGGTATCTTCCCTGTCCTTATAGGCCCGCTTATGCATTTGGTCATACGCGTATGTAATGTGCGATACTGATGTGCAGAAAAAGAAAGTCAGTGGTGGGAAGGCGAGCGGAGAGCGGGCAAAGACCAAATCAACGCAATATGACAAAGTGGCGCTGTTAATTCTGGGAAGTTGTGGGCTAAGGAGTTCACTAGTTCAACGTAGTGAATACGATCCGGCGAGCAGATTTATCTATCATGGGATTGGTGGAATGGCATTCTCGATTCGCGATGATGTGGACACTTGTTTCGTGTGTAGGTGACGGCTCACATTTCTCACCTCCTCACCTTGTAACACGGCTGTCACTTTGCATGGATCGACCGCTCGCTCTATGATATTTCTTTTGCTATAAGTGAGACAGAGGAGTCTGGGGCATAGCTATTGGCTCATGCAACCCCCTTAGTAATGCATGGTGGTGGCCCAGCTACGTCCTCCCCCCGTGCCGCCTACAGACTTTGCCTACTAGGGCCAGCTATTCGGCCTCTTGGGAGTCAAGGTCATGCAGGTGAGAACTCAGGTAGCTGGCAATAGTTGTCCCGGTATGACCCGCCGCCTCATTGGCTTGAACACACCCAGAGAGGAGGCTTGTGCGGACAGGGGTCTATCTTTCAGCTGCGATGGTACCACCTCTCATCATATCTCCTTCTGGATTATCACCTCCTGGTTGACTTCAATTTTGATTCACTTCTGCATGATTAGGGTGAATTTTGGAGAGCTGAAAGATTCCTGGATTCAATTCCGGCTCTCGACCGTCAGCATACCCAGGACAATGCAGTTTTACGTGTACTCGTACTCGTTTAGAATGTGGCTTATCTTCCCGGTTGCTTTCTTTTTTTTTCTTTTTTTTCTCTGGGAGTAGGACTGCATTGAGAGACTCGTAAATAGCGCTAGCTTCTTGTCGATCTGTGGCACAGATAACGGTAGAGTTACAGTAAATTTTCCTGCAGTGACTGTGCCTACCTATCTTAGACTCTTTGCACGATATGTCAACCTTCCTAAGTCTGTCACCTCACACACACTGAATGACTTAATTCTCTGTATTAATTGTTTTAGTGCAATGCGGGATTATTCCTATTAATGTGATAGCATAGATATGAATAGCCACCAGACTAGATCAACTTGGATATCGTACGATTCGTGTGTAGGCGCGGTGAACAATTTCATTGTACTCCGAGGTTGTTTGGTGCATTTTGTGCAATGGAAAAGATCTGGATCATCTGCGGGATCGATGTCTTACACACCACCACCATTCGTAACAGGTAGTTGATGCAACCGCCCGTGATTTCTCATGTGAGATGGGTGTGAAAACAACAGCGTGGACCAGTCACATCCTTCAGCAAGCACACTTCTTGCTTTCTTTTTACCGGATGACGCTTTGGCCCGAGATTTAGGGCCCTAAGCTGCAATATGCATGATAGCTGCACCTGGACACCGCAACAAAAGAAAGCTCTATGCATGGGAGCCCGGCCAAGCCGGCGTACCCCGCCCGGCTGCTCCTGATCATATTTCAGAATTGCCCATTCTTCTCATGGTGGGTTCTAGGCCCGAATCTCGATCACGCGAGTGTACCTTCGATCCCAGGTTGATTTAGCTCTGGACGTCATCCAGGTTATATCAAAACTGAGTTTTGAATGGCTTGAGAGAAAGCGGTATACAAAAACCGACGAGTTCCCCTCTCATCCGGCTTCCAGAATCTGTGTGTATCCCTTTCTCTTAACTCCATGCTTCTTCCATCCATCGCCATCCTTGGGCCATAAGCCATGTTCCTTGGCCTAGCCATTTGACTACGTTGAAGCATTTGTTGATCCCCCACCACCACTACCCAAGTTAACTCTTGATTCAAATATATTTGACTTACTTTCCTTCACGTCGGCATGGAGACGGGACTACCGCGTCCAGTCGTTACCATGGCTCAGAACCCGAGCAATGAGCTCCAGAGGGTTGAGTTGGCTCGCCAGGCCCTGCAGAAGGACAAGACCCTCAACAGTCGCCAATCTTCTGCCATAGCCAAGGCCATTGAGCTTCTCAACGAATCCAAGAAAGGCGGACGGATTGACCGACGCCACTCGCGCGGCCTCCTCCTCGGTATCTACAGTCGTTTTGGCATCGATGTGCTGCTCTTGTGCAGTGTCTCGCTGTCCATCACGAAGCTGGCCGAGATGAAAAGAAACGCCGCCCAATTCTTCTGGGAGCTAGGAGCGTGGAAGATTTCTGCCGAGATCGCCAAAGAGGTTCATGATCTGGCAACAAGGCTGTTGGGCCCAGTGCTATCAGGGATTGAGGCCAAGAAAGTCAACGAAGGTTGTTCCGCGTTGGGCCCCTATCAAAGAGAAAGATATCAGAGAGCTGTAGGCTGACCATTGATTGATTCTCTGATCTCACAGCCCTAGGCGCTAACCCTTCTCCCAATGATGGGAAAGGAAAACGGAAGCTGTCCGGCAAGAAGAAGTCGGCACCTGTCAAACGTACCAAAATTGATTCCAGTGAAGAGCCTGTCAACGACGTCCCAGGCTGCGTCGAATGGAGAGTGCAGCAGCCCACACCCAATGAGGGGAGTGTAGATGCAAACGGCGGCGTCAGCACCGAATGCAATGACGCCGCGGTGAAGGAGGAGTCCCAGTCTCCCCCGGCCTCACAAACCAAATTCATATATGACCATACGCCAGAGAATAGTGAGTTCAGACTGATCATGCATGGGTGCTTCAATGCTAATAGAGGATGAAATAGTCCCGCTGTATGCGACCAAGGTAGATCTGGTGCCTATGGATGCTATAATGGCGGTCTCTGTCCAGAGCGAACCCGTGACTTGGTTGACCATTCCAGACGACGTACGGTTAACGCCCGCTTTCGTCACAGTCCAGGTACCACTGGAACTAGCTCTCAACTTTAAGGGCCTTAGAGGTGAATCTAAATCGCCATGAAGCTATATGGATGCATGTCTTTTGCTGTTGCTATTTTGAACAGCTTGGATGAAATCATGAGGCGTTGAGACTGGGTGAAGCGACACATTATTGACATTATGATTGCTTAGAATTTAAGGAGAATTTTATGATCAGAAATGCAAATTGAATTGAGATTAGATGCTTCAACTACACTGGAATGGCATGCCGAAGTCAATATTATGAACGTAGTCACATTGGAGTAATTTTGTTCATTATATATATTAACAGCGACAGATTAATTGGTCAATAATATTATTACTTATTCCTTGATTTAATTTGTACATAAGCCGATGGTTTAATTTCTTTGATATCGAAAGCCCTGACTTTATGTTTTTACGCATAACATATCACCATTGCAATCGGGGGCTGCCACGAAGAGGAGAGACGACGGGCGCAATTGATGAATTGGTAAAGTCCTTAATATGGTCTAAGACCCAACGAACTAGACTGCTTGTGTTAGGGGACCTAGTTCTTGTATGAAAATGAAAACGGAAGGGTTTAAACGACAAGACCTGGCCCTGGTAGGTTTGTTCCAGCTATGCTAATGTAATTGATGATGTATAGTACTTATCAAACATTCAAACACAGAAATAACGAACACTGCCAGAAAGGTATAATGATCCACTGTTCACATTACCAGGGATTTGTGCAAAAGAAGATATCGACATGGCGAAGGTGTTTGTAGATAGTGCTTCTCTTTACCAGCACAAAATAACTGAGGCAAGGTGTTGGGGAAAGAGAAAACGCAAAGGATTCCCTGCTTAAATACTTGCCAAAGCTTCTGGAATCTTTCTCTAACCGCAAACGTAAAAAGAAGCCCTTCGGCCGTCTAGAATCCCATTTGCGTGATTCATGTTCAAACCTAACGTATGTACCCTGTATGCCACCTCCAGCAGCAGGTGTCGTCGTTTGCGTGAGATGTTGCGCTTAGGAAAATGTCGGAGGCTTCGAATTTATCCTTTAATAATGTCATAACATAGATTTATAATGTGATAATTAAACGAATAAAGTCTAGCGAGAGAGTGCGTTCAGAAGATGTTGTGCAAAGAAAATACTCCTACAAAGGGTCACTCATACGAGACTAAGTAGGAGCTTGAGGCAAAGTCAACTGTGCGTAACACATGGTAGTCCTTGACCCCCATTCGCGTTATTCACACTAGAATGTGGATTTCCGACACAATGGTACACGTTATCTCCGCCAGCCAGTTGTCGCACATGTTGTCTCAGGGGGCTGGAGCACACGCTCGCTTGCGATGAGGAAACACAAGTGAGTGAGAAACCAGGGGTGTAGGGCCGAAGTAACAGTGACGAGATGGGGTATGTCTTCTAAACGGTCGCTTAACTTGCTGGAATTCTGGGGACAGACGAAATAGGACAGCAGCCGAGACATGTGGACAGGTCTAGACGAGCGAACATGCCAAGGGAGCTTCATGAACCTAAACAGTTATCTAGAACCCCTGTCCATGGGCACATTACGTTTTCTTAGGCCAGTGTTGATCGTCCGTTTTATTCTCTTTTGCCTAGAGAGCCCTGTTAGTGCACCCTGAACGAACCCTGTTCACATTCCAACAGATATTGAATCGCACGATAACCCACACAACGGGAATCTAGACTTACTTGAATTGAGATCAACGTGACAATATAGACTGACCGTCATGTCTTGATCCATGACCGGGGTTGGGTAGTAGGGGTGGTTTGAGAGTCATGTTTGAGTCGATTAATGTCATGCCCTAGAACGTGGTATGACGCTGATCCTGGGTGCATCTACGTTTTCACTTGAGAATGTAGGCATTCTCATCCTGAATCGCATGCTCTCCAAGACTTCCCATCAACAACAATTGGACTACCTAACTTATTTACTACTCAATGCAACAATACTGTTTTGCTCCAGCCCCTCTCAGACTCCCACAATGGCCTATCGACATGTCCTCGCTTTTGTATTCGTCCTCCTTACATTTGCGTTAGGAATTAATGGCCGGGTATTACCAAAATGCCAGTACCAGGAGTATGCTTGTGGGAACGATCTAGTTAAACGAGGTATTGTCACATTTTCTAACTCGCCCTTTCACCTCGCTGTGTTTTTTAATATTTGAGCTAGGTTATACGAACGCAGATCTTCGGGCAGCGATAGCAAAGCTTCCACCTGGGATTATTCCACCCACTCTCAGTAATCTGCAGCTTCTCCAGGTTCTTTACCACTGCGACGACATCTACAATTCTTTATCCGGCAATGCCTTTTGTGTTTCGGGATGTATCGCCATCAGTGGTTCGTTAGCTAATGACCAATGCTACATGTAGGTGAAAAACGATGGGAGAGGCGGAGACCAGATCAATAACAGTGTATAGGAATGGCTTCAATGTTCCCCCATCTGGGAAGAAGAAACGATAATCTATTAGTTTGGTAGTTATGCTTCGCAACGATTTGGGGGAGTTGAGTTCGATGTGTGCAGGTATACAATATGATTCAAGATCAGTGCCAACTGCTCAGGGAATAACCGAAATCAGTGAGCGAGACGCAATAGGATACGATATTCACGGAGGAGTAAATAGTTGTCTTTGGAAAATGTGCATTTATCTGGTCAGCCTCTCTACTTGGAACTACGTTCTGGAGCGGTATGGGAAACTGCTTAAGGTGCCGGAAACGGTATTGTGAGCAAGGTAGATTACGAACTCAGCCTAGTAGAATAGTCTAAGGGAATTCCCCCAATAATAGTCGTTGACCCGTGAAACAAGGTATTTAGAAGAATGATTGACTAGCAGGGGTAAGGAGTAGTGCTATCAACACGAAGCACGATGTGATCGGTGATGGCACTAGAGATATTCAGTATCTGAGTCACTTAAACTACCATGAGGCTATGGAATGTGAATAGAGAGATATTGTTTCAGTCAGGTGGCTTGTCAGAAAGTATAGAAATGCCATGCCTGTGACTGGTGGTAGCGCTCACGTGGGAAGCTTAGTACTGAACTAGATGCAGACACCTTATAAATTCTCATGCATGAAAGTGATGTTCATTAACAAAAAGCACTGCATGTGTATGCGTAATAACTTCCAGAAATTCAGGATATCTGAGCTTCTGTTGGAATCCTGTACATTCGAGAGAATGTTGGGCTTTGGATTTCGTGAGAGGAGTGAAGTGAATGCTCCGCATATTCCGTGTAATGGGCTGCCTAGATGGGGGATTCCTGATGAGAAATACCGCAAGCATACCTTCTAAGCGAGCATCAAGTGAGGTCAAGTATTGGAATGCAGCTGTCTGTGAGTATGTGCGGTTGAATGATTCTAACCCTTTGCGAAAGAAGGGGGCAACATCAGGTTGTTCTTAGTCACAACACGATGGGTTGAATGCAATCACCTTGATGAAGTACCAAGTATCCTCATCAAGGGCATCATCCCTTTGGAAAAAGGTATTAAAAGACCGTCTCTCGACTATGTACATCCTGCTCCATCAACAACTCTACACTCTATCCTCCTCCCTCTACACTCACCAACCACTCCTTAATCACCCAACTTTGTCAACAATAACCAATCAAGATGGTCTTTAATTATCTTTCGGGACTTGCAGTCCTTCTTGCCTTCTCCTCTGGAGCCTTGGCCCAGATTACAACGCCGTGCACCTACCAAGAATATGTCTGCGGTTCAACCTTACTCACCAACGGTGCGCCATAGCTTTAGGAAACTCTTACCTGGTATTAAGACATTAACTAACCTTCTGTAAAGGATATGTTACTACTGATCTGAGGACCGCATATGCCCTGAACCCGAACAACCCGGTCATCCCAGACACCGGGCTTTCCAAAGTTCTTTTCCGCTGCACGGATACTGTGGGTACGATTGTTGGTAACTCATACTGCATTGTGGGTTGCGGAGTGGTGGGCGATAATCTGGTTGATGATCAGTGCACAATGTAGATTGGACTCAATCGTTGTTGGGGGGTGTTTGCACCCTGTTGGATGTCTAGGAAGAGTTGTGAGGCGGTGGTTGCCACTCTTTTTCCTCATTATCGTGGGGTTTTTTAACGAGGGCGACATTTTAAAATATAATTGAATGTAATGAACTTGCTATCATACTACCTCCTTTTAACTTGACGGTGTGAAGGCTTTTGCTCGCTTTTGGCGGCCACACTTTCGAACGTACTGTTGCAAAATAGAGATGAGAGCTGGACGTTTGACTCCCTTGTAATTAATATGTAGATGCCTTCCGCTTCTCTAAGGTTGTTAAATTGTTATAACATGTATACTACGTTTTGGAAGTCTTAAAATCAAATTCATTACCTAAGGTCCCCTTAATTCCAAAGAATCTTTCGCTAGTCCGTTATTAGCTGATACTGATTCGAGTTGGAGAATCATGCCTGAGTGGTAACAAAAGAAATGCAGGTCAGTGTTAAAACAAGAAATTATCTATCCGTTGGAAGTCTATGAGCTATACAGAGAACAACCTAGTCTGGAATCTATATTCGGCCAAAGAGTGAAACCAAAGGATAGTCGCCGTTTTCCCCACCACAATTGGCTCCCGGGCCAGTGACCACATTACAAGGAGTGGAACACTGGTAGTTGATACCAAGATGGGTATATTGGAAAGCATTGAGCACGTTTCCGCATGTACAAATCGACTGCCCCGTCCCACTTGTGCCAAGTGAGAGGTAGAGGGTTGGGCCACCAGGTTGCCCAGCACAGAAGGTTGCGCAATCGTCGAGTGATGTGAGTACAGTCTGACCAGTATAGGGGTCTAGCCCGTACTTGTCGTCCTGACTGGCAAGGTAACAACCAAGATAGCCGTAGTTTGTTGTGTATCCAGCTGAATCACCTTTCGGTCCTTGGGGGCCTTCCAAGCCTGGCACGCCTTGTTGCCCTTCATTGCCTGGTATACCTTGAGGCCCCTGGGGTCCAGATTCACCTGGTATGCCTTGCAATCCAGGTTCTCCTTGTTCCCCCTTCTCGCCTTGCAAGCCTTGTAGTCCTGGGTCGCCTTGATCTCCCTTCTCGCCTGGGAGACCTTGCAAACCTTGCAGACCCGGTTCGCCTTGAAGGCCTGGCTCTCCTTGTAAGCCCTTCTCACCGGGGAGTCCTTGTTGGCCTTGGAGACCTTGCTCTCCCTTCTCGCCTTTCTGACCTTGTGGTCCGGGGCTGCCTTGATCTCCTTTTGCGCCTTGGTCTCCTTTTGCGCCTGGGTCTCCTTTTGCACCTGGAAGACCTTGTAAGCCTTGTGGCCCCGGTTCCCCTTTTTGACCTTCTCTACCTGGTGTACCATCTCTGCCCGGTGTACCGTTTTTGCCATCTCTGCCTGGGGCTCCGTCCCTTCCTGGCGCACCTGGTGCACCATCTCTGCCCGGTGTACCGTTTTTGCCATCTCTGCCTTGGGTCCCGTCTCTTCCTGGCGTACCATCTTTACCTGCTGTACCGTTTTTGCCGTCTCTGCCTGGGTTGCCGTCCCGCCCTGGCGTACCATCTCTGCCCGGTGTACCGGCTTTACCGTCTCTGCCTGGGGCTCCGTCCCTTCCTGGCGCGCCATCTTTGCCTGGTAGACCATTTTTGCCATCTCTGCCGTCTCTGCCTGGAGCCCCATCCTTTCCTGGTTCACCTGGTGTGCCCTGCAAAACTTGGATAACCTGTACACTTTGCGGTGCTGTTGAAGTTCCTTCTACCGCCGATAATCTAGACAATTCCGGCGGACCAGGGCTCCCGGTCTTGGCGACTTGCTCTCTTGAACCAGGAATTGCCGGTTGGCCTTGTCTCATAGGAAATGCCGCTGACTCTGGCGCCCTGGGACTTCCATCCTCATTGATGAGCCCTTGAGAGACAGAGTTGAGAGGACTGGCTGGACTTCCGTAGCTGTTGACTGGCCGTCCTGGTTGACTAGGCCCGGGGAGTCTGAGCTCTCCCGACGGCCCGAAAGGAATAATTAAATAGGCTCCACGAAAATCCGGGCAGCTATTGCTCTCTGTGCCGCGGGATTCCAAAGAATGAGTGATTATATGAGCTGATGGCTTCGCATCTCTAGCCCCTAGTCGTGTCTGTGATGCATAGGCGGTAGTAATCGGACGTTTCTGCAAGCATCGAGCCACTTTATTGCGTTAGTAAATGCCAAGAGGAACTCCAAGAGTAGCCATGCTTACGAGGAACTAGTTCAAGGCGGATCCGAATGCATTCGTTGGATAGCCTAGAGGAACCGAAGACGGCAAAAACAACGTTTGAACTGGACAGACAAAAGAGAGCTGTAGAAGATGCAAAATCCGAACTGAACCATTGCAATTCATCGCCATCCCGAAAGAATCCACTGGTGATCGTTCCATTCGAGGTACCCCCTAATAATGGCTGACTCTGTATGCCAGGCTCGGTGGAAACTATGTGTTTGCCCGCATGCAGCTGGTCTCCGATGAGTTGGAACTCGGTTGCGTACTGGCAGGCGTTGGATATACCAAAAGGAGTGATGTATAATGGATCAATCTCCTGCACGGCATCCCTCAAGGGATGGAATAGGTTCAATAGGAGTAAAAACTCTTCAGGGCTATTGTCGTTGAGAGGGGTGGCATTGACTCTAGCGGGCTTTGTGAGTGAAGTTGCAACACCGGGAGATTGATCCCGCGAGAAGACACTTACTTTTCCACTTGAGCGTTTGATATATCAGTATCATTTACAAGCCCACGGGAATCAGTCGCAATGGTTAACGCTGCACTAAGACCGACGTAGCTCAAGAACATGACCAGTAGGGACCTCATTTTGGCGGGTGTTTCCATGACTGAGCCTCATTTGAGCCAGACTTCGCTGGAAAACTGACGAAAAGGAAACTGTGGTATAGGCGAGAGTGTCTGTATGGCACCCGTGCTTGCCAGGGGTCTTCTCTTTGTAGATTCCTGTCTCCGCTCGTGTATTTTGATTCATGAGGCCAAGACATCTTCTCAGCGCCTCGTGTTGGCTCGCTTGCGACATTCACATTAGACATTTGAAGAAACACGCCCTGTAGGGTATGTTTAGAGCGAGGGATAAATAATCAATAACTAATGAAACAAACAAGGGAGGATAGAACAGTGTCTGAGAGATCACACCATGCCGTCTAAGCGAGAAACATGAATCTTGGCACAGGGTTCCTCTCCCATGCTCAACGCAGGAATTCGTCGAAATATATTACCATGAATTAACCTCACATCCTTGTCGCTCTAGGGGACGTTCTAACCTCAAATCCACGTGGTCCGGAGCGTCCGTGATGTATGATAGGCACAGACCTTCTCCCACATTTCTTTGATATAGCCACAACATTCCGCGGCGATACTATAGTGCAATGCATTCCAAACGAAACAGTCTACACAATGGAGTCATTCCTCCAACCAGCGCATTGACGAGAGAACAAGTAAGTAAGTCACTCTTCTAGGTTTCCTCAATTCTCCTTCGCCATCCTTCCATATTGACATCATGCTCTTCAGTCCCATTTTCGACAGATCGAATTCCAGAACAGTGGGCGAGGCGCTATGGCAACCGAAATCTAAACCCGGTGAACAACATTCAGCTCATCTTGTGAGATCACTGTCCTCGAAAGTTCTCGAATGAGTCTGACGAGGGGTTCGACTCTCAGTGTGAATTTGAAGACACCCAATTATTGATAGATTTCAATCGTGTTCCGTAATTCATAAGGAAAGTTAAAGTAAATTTTAGGTAATGAATAAGTAATATTCGTTATGTTGAGATGTCAGATCCAGTATCCTCCATTGCTTGTTCTTACTCTGTACTCGAACTGTCATCTGTAATAAATCTAACTTGGTACTTCTACTTAGTCATTCATGGTGATACTATATTACTGCAAATCTTATAATACTTTCGAAGTAAAGAAGAATTTATAACTACACATGTAATATAAGAGCTCCTATAGAACTACGAGAATAACGCCCTTCTAGGGACCCTGATAATAAAGACGAGGGAATACTATCACCTTAGTCATACTAAAAAAAAAAACACGGCGCGCCTCGTAGGTAATTCCCAATGCAATGGAAGTCACTGCATCCTGTGCGTGATCACCGGGTTGTATCGTAGCACTGCCACTGTGTGGTTACATTGCCGGCTGCTGTGCCGGCGCTAGGGAACTGGATTTATACCCGGTATTGTGATTGTGTTGTTTCGACGATTACAGATGAAGACCCTCTTGATGTGTATTCCGCACGGTTTTCGACCCAGCTATTCGAGGGTTTCATTAGACCTGATCCTCCTCAGAAATATAATCAATTGAAAAGGAACCAGTATGTCGTGAGCTTGGGAGAGCGCAAGTCAACGCAAGTAATTGCTTGATAGGGGGTAAGCAGAATGCTAGGGGTACAGTAGAATAGGATTGGGTAGGCTAGACAGGGGGTAGAGGTCTTTCTGACAGATGATGTTACAGTATTATGATCTGAATCCCCCAAGGAAAATGGGGCAAGCTCCCTCCCGTGGGAGCATTTGACGGGACCATCGTCAACCGGCCCATCAAACATCGCCATCATGTGGCTCATTGATGCCAAAACGACCCGCCTCGTACACGTCAACGACGTGGCCGACAAGCCGCGGTACGCGATCCTATCGCACACCTGGGGCGAGGGCGAGGTGTCATTCCGCGACATGTCCGCTCGCAGCTCCCGGATCTCGAGGAAGCCGCAGCGCAGGCCGGCCTGGTCCAAGATCGAGAACTCGTGCCGGCTGGCCCTGAGCTACAAGTGCGACTACGTCTGGGTCGACACCTGCTGCATCGACAGCTCCAGCAGCTCCGAGCTGCAGCAGGCCATTAATTCCATGTTCCGGTGGTACGAGCGCGCGGAGATTTGCTTCGTCCACCTCGCGGATGTGTCCGTCGACAAGGACCACAACAGGCTCAAGTCGGCGTTTCGTGACTCCCGCTGGTTCAAGAGGGGGTGGACTCTCCAGGAACTGCTGGCCCCTTCGACGCTGGTGTTTTACGACAAGACGTGGAGTGTTATTGGCGCCAAGGATGATGCTGATCTCCGAGGGTCTATCTCGGAGGTGACAGGGATTGATGAATATTATCTGAATCCAGCAAACAGGATCGTGTTTACCAGTGTCCATCAATGGCTCTCTCGTGCAAGTGTCGCCGAGAGGCTGTCTTGGGCGGCTGGCAGGGAGACAACCCGGGCTGAGGACATGGCGTACTGCCTGCTCGGTATATTCGACATCAACATGCCCATGCTATATGGAGAAGGCATCAAGGCATTCAAAAGACTCCAGGAAGAAATCATGAAAGTCGACGATGATTGCTCGCTCCTCTGCTGGGGCTACGACATGGCACAAGAAGCGCTGACAATTTTCGAGGATGAATCGTCAATCCTGGCTCCTCACCCAAAATATTTCAAGAACTGCCGCGGAATCAAACCATGTACTCTTCCAGGATACATGATGCCTTCTTTCTCTCTTAATCAGAGAGGATTGAGCATCAAAGCACCTATCCTTGACGATATCACACATGCCCACCTCTCCTATGTAGTATTGGGTTGTGGCTTCGTCCCCGAAACTGATAGAAGTAAAGAACAAGACAAGGCAGCCTCGAGATTATTCGTCTCTCTTCCGCTCGTCTCCAACGGGGCCTGTAAGAGCAGAGCGGGCGATGTAGAGACGCAGCAAGGAGAGTATCATCGACCGACTTGGTGCAGGCCGACATTGGTCTCTATGAAGTTTCTGAAAAAGGCAAAGTTAAAGGAGCTTCTCATACGAAGAGCTGCTTCCAAATCGGCTGTTACGATACGGAGATGCCCGTTCCGCCTCTTGTTCCAAAATTCACCACTGTTCAAGACCGAACATGTAGTGGCCATTTACCCACCCCAGCCCATACCTGGTGCTCTGGCCTCACTAGGCAGAAAGGCAATGCACCAAACCGGGTTCTGGGACGACTCTGACAAAAGAAACCCCTTATCGGACAGTTATGTGCGGAAGATATGTTCTGACAACAGTAGTTCAGAGGGCGACGATCAAGACAACCAATTGCTCAGCGACGTGCAAGTCATGATTCATCTGAAGTTTTCAGCCAGCGAGATGTTTCTTGTCACTGTAGAGTTGGGAGACTCGATTGGGCACAGAATTTTCAGATGCCGCTTGTATCAGTGTGCCAAGCAATTAGGATTCGAAGACTTGCATGCACTATCAATATCCCAGGACTATGACCAGCTCCGGATATTGGGGTGTGACCACATGGGTGGTTACTTCAGTTTCAAGATGAATGACGAGTCAAGCGTGGCGGTTGAGGCTATGTATACTAGTATGAGTGATATTGATAGGGTGATAATTGGGGTTCATGAGAAAGGGGCAGCTTCATGAGTTGTATACTGATAGGATAATGAATATTGATACCAAATTTAATTAAACCAAGTCTATCCGATTACTGTTCGTCAAACAGGACTGAGTGATTCAGTATTATATCCGTCGCTAGGAAACAAAGCAAACCAAAGCAACAGCGATAATGTAAATTTAAAAACTAAATTTGAATTATCTCTAAACACCGACAATTTCCTCCGAAGAGATCGATCTATCTATCAGGGGTGCCCATTAAAGGAACACTTCTAAGTATCTATATCTATTTCTATGATGCAGGATGTTCTAACGCCATCTCCAGTTCTCTAATAGAGGGAAAACAAAATCTCCGGTTCTATGTCCATCCGATTCTAAACAAACGATAACCGCTTTCGTCGCCTCGCCCAATGCCATTACTCTTTTCTAGTCGTTCAGCGTGCAAAATCGTAAGTCGTCGTCCATCCTTGCCCGTCGGCCTGTCAATCGCGCCAAACGCAGCCTCGACCGTCTCGCTCACACCTTCGAACCGTCCATTCTGCCGGACGGTCGCGACGAGCCACAGGGTACCGTCGGGTCCAAGAATCTGCGTGCTGCAGTCTCGCAACCACGCAGCGTGCTCGGGTGCATACACCACGTCTGTGGCAATCAGCATGTCGGCAGGGGCGTCGAGAGGATGTTCCAAGTTGGGAGATGCCCAATCAAGTAAGGCTGCCTCGATGGGGGCCTGGTCCAGGCTGGGGAAGTTGGTTTTGATGTTGGAGCGGAGGTTTTCCAGTACAGCCGGATGGTAGTCAGTCGCAATCACCGTCGGGTCCGAAATCCCCAGGTGTGGCAGGAGTTTAGCCATGACGAGGCCGACCAGGCCTGTGCCGGCACCCAGCTCAATGATCCGTGGGGAGGCGCCGAGCGAGGCCGTGGTAAGACCAAAGCGAGCAGGCTCCTGGCAGAGGAGTTTAGAGACGACAATGGATGCGCCCCAGCTCTGAAGTCCAACATCGTCAGGCTGCGACGAGTCCATTCCAGCAAGCCCATCGTTGAGTCGAATATCAACAGTCACGGGGCCGTGTGAGTCATCCTTGGTGACGGGAAACGAGAACTCACGCACGTAATCAGCGAGCTCTTCCTGCATTTGCTGATCCTGGTCAGCGGTGCTGGCGAAAAAAGACTCGAGGACCCATGAGGCCTGGTCGATGGCGCGCTGCCGTGAGTCCTCATCGGTGAAGCATTCGAGCATCTCTGAACGGGCGATGAAGCCCGTCAGCCATCGCTCGGCGTGACTGCGCTCAAAGTTGTCGGCACGCAGAGCAGCCAGTCTGTCCTCACGGTCGTCATCCTCGTCGCCTTCTGTTTCTGAGACATAACCCGAGTCGACGAGCGTGTCGGCAACCGACAGAGCCTTCCTGTGGCTGTCGCTGGCGTCGTCAAAGGGGAACGCGAAGGG